GTATTTTAGCTCAGAGGAAGAGACAAGCAGGACAAGAGGGATGACTCAGCGTGCTCCTTGAGGAAGGCAGGATGTTATGGAGTACCCAAAAGGGGATGAGACACAGAGCCCATGCTTACAGATTTGCAGGGACGGGGAAGAAAACCATAGAATCATCTCCCTGGAATGGTTTGAGTTGGAAGAGACCTTAAAGCTCACCTTGTGGGTAGGGCAGGGATACCTTCTACTATCCCAGGAGGCTCCCAGTCCTGTCCAACCTGGCCTTGGACACTTTCAGAGATGAGGCTGCCACAGCTGCTCTGGGCAACCTGGCAGGGCAGGATTTCCTTCCAATATCCCACCTACCACTCCCTCCATCCTAAAGCCATTCCCTCTTTTCCGTGCCCTCACAGAACAGCTCAGTGTAAAACAAACCAGTGAGCAGAGCCCCCCCCTCCAGCCCAGAGCCCCCCAAAAAGCTCACCTGTTGTGAACCTTGGCTTAGTGGGAGGCTCCTGCACGGACATGGGGAAGGTGGCTGAGGCAGGGGAGGACTGTGCCCGCGACAGGGGCCGGTGTCCCCCGAAGGACACGGGCATGCCGGCCGCCTCCAGCGACGCCTGGTAGTTCCTCAGCTGGTGGATCCTCTGCTGCTCCAGGAGCAGGGCTTGCTGTGGGCAACAGAAGCAGGCAGTTGCTGAAAGGGCCTTCCAAAAGGGGTTTGTGAAGGATCCCAGTCCAGGCTTGGACTCTTTTCCCTCACGTGCAGCAAAGGAAGATGTGACATTTCTAGGGCCGAGTCAGACAGGCACAACACATGGAGCCCCACAATGCCAGGGGCAGCTCCATCTCCCCCACAGCTCCCTCCTCTTCCTCGCACCCACGGCTCTGGGACATTTAACAGTGAAACAGTCCAGGCCATGGAACTGGTCCGACTCAGCTGGATCCTGGGCTGGACAGGGAGCTCTGAATTGAGCTGCTTTTCTCTCTGCAGCCACACCATCAGCTGGACAGGCTCCTGGGCAGAAGGGATGGCTGCTCCATCCCATTCCCTCCTGCTCTGAGGCCAAACAGTTGCAAAGGAGATACTATTTTAAAGACTTCTGAGGTGTGCCCATGCATTCGGGATTAAGGTGGAGAGGCTCCAGCTTCAGAGGAATGGTATCACTGGTAATAGTCCATCATCACTAACTCAGAATTAGAAAATCCCAGGGTGGTTTGGGCCTTAAAGCTCATCTCTGCCATGGGCAGGGACACTTCCCACTGTCCCAGGTTGCTCCAAGCCCCATCCAACATGGCCTTGGACACTTCCAGGGATGAGGTGGCCACAGCTTTCCTCAGCAACATCCCAATGACATTCCTGGAGGAAATGGACCAGCACCATTACACTGTGCTCCCTTGTTATTGGCTTTATCACCTGCAATCCACAAGCCTTGGGTGTTTTCCCTCAAAAGTGAGCCTGGTTGGAGGCTCCAGCTTCTCTAATTCTGAAGCAGGAACACTCTCCACTTGTGCCCTGTTCTCTTATGTGCAGTCTCATGTTTTATGAAAAATTCTTTCCTTAGGATTTTTTTTCCTGAGAAGCTGAGAGGCCTCAGGAACAAAATGTAAGCAATGATTCTCTGCTGCTGTGGAATGCAACAGGTGGATCTGTGATTGGTCTCATGTGGTTGCTTGTAATTAATGGCCAATCACAGCCCAGCTGTCCAGACTGTCTCAGTCAGTCACAAGCCTTTGTTATCATTCCTTCTTTTTCTATTTCTTGCTAGCCTTCTGATGAAATCCTTTCTTCTATTCTTTTACTATAGTTTTAATATAATATATATCATAAAATAATAAATCAAGCCTTCTGAAATATTGAGTCAACATTGTCTTCTCTTCCCTCATCCTGGGACCCCTGTGAACACCGTCACAGTCTTTCTCTGGAGAAATTAGTTTTAAATCATTAAACCAAAATACAGTCCCCTGTGATTTTACATGGGGTTCCTGTAACCTGCCAATCCTTCTGGTAGGTGACTCTAGGGAAGAAATCACTTGGATTTACATCAGGTTCCTGTAACCAGCCAATCCTTCTTGTAGGTAACTCCAGGGAAGGAATCACTTGAATTTATATGGGGTTCCTGTATGTAACCAGCCAACCCTCCTGGTAAGTGACTCTAGGGAAGGAATCACTTGATTTTACATGGGGTTCCTGTAACCAGCCAACCTTCCTGGTAGGTGACTCCAGGGAAGGAATCAGCTGATTTTACATGGGGTTCCTGGTAGGTAACTCCAGGGAAGGTATCATTTGCATTTACATGGGGTTCCTACAACCAGCCAACCCTCCTGGTAGGTGACTCCAGGGAAAGAACCACCTGTAATTTTACATGGAGTTCCTGTAACCAGCCAATCCTCCTGGTAGGTGACTCCAAGGAAGGAATCAGCTGATTTTACAGGGGGTTCCTGGTAGGTAATTCCAGGGAAGGAATCACCTGAATTTACACGGGGTTCCTGTAACCAGCCTACCCTTCTGGTAGGTGACTCCATGGAAGGAATCACTTGAATTTATATGGGGTTCCTGTAACCAGCCTACCCTCCTGGTAGGTGACTCCAGGGAGGGAATCACCTGAATTTACATGGGGTTCCTGGTAGGTGACTCCATGGAAGGAATCACTTGAATTTATGTTGGGTTCCTGTACCCAGCCACCCCTCAGGAGCTGTTTCCCCTCAGAGCAGCACGAGG